CCATCCTTCTTTCTTTTCCCATGCACAAACACTGCAACACACACTCCTGTGTTTGTACATCTGGCTTATTTCATTTATACATTACACAGTTTATTATCAGTTTCATTCATTAAGCACCGGAGAGCTTTAATGCCTCTGGATGTGATGGCACATCACCTCCACGTGAGGGATCCCTTGGGATAAACCCTCAGCAGCTGAACCTGGGACTTCTTCAGTGCTTTTTACATTTAAAAAGGTACATCAACAGAGCAGCCTAGCATACCATAATGCTAACAGTAAAGTGAATACATGAAAAAATGTGAAAATTCCATTTCTTTGTAACTACTTGTTCTCTTTGTGATCTCAGTGCAGATAGAAGAGATTGGTTAGGATTCAGTGCTGATGGCTTACAGCCATGGAACACAAAAATCTGCTATATATGCCCAGAACCACACCATATCAAAATAAAATCATGAGGACAAGGAAGGTGAGCATCACAGCAAATGCAGCTTGGCTGGGCTTTGTGCTATATATGCTCCCAGGCTTCACTGTCCACATTTTCAACCTTTCAGCCTCCCACAGACCAGTCATTCAGCTTCCCCCTCTCAAATAAAAAAATCCCTCAAAATACTCATTTTTTAATCCCCTGGTCCCAGTAGAACAGGCAAGAAGCAGTGCAAAGCACACGTGCCTGCTGATGGCTGGCTGGTGCCCATGGGCTGGCTGACCACCACATGGGTCAAACTGAAAAGACAAGTCAGTGTTAGCTTTCCCCTTTGTAAGGACTTTAAATTGGCATATTTTTCTACACTGATGCCACCAGAGTTCATGGACCATGTAGTAATTTCATGTCTTTGAGACTATATCTCCAGTAATATCTGAAGTGAGCCAAGGGGTCTCCAAAATTTTCAAGGGGGCCGTCACTCCTCTAAGTTTGTCCTCTCAGCAAGGGCAACTTGAAGAACTTTTCCACTGCTCTGTTAGTGGATATATTCACAATTAGGCAGAAAAAAAAATGTGTAAGAATCATGTGGGAATTACACAAGTGAGCATTTATAGTGGATTTTTACTTACAAGCACACCTTCAGGTTAATGGAGAAAGATGCTCATCCTGTGTTACCAGAGCTTCCAGATCTGTAGCAGGACAGCCCCATGGAAATCTAGGTGCAGCTGCAGTCTTACCATTTGTCTAGAACAAATTTATTTCTTTCTCTGCAGACATTTATCTGTATGCTGAGGGTTACTAGTGAGAAGCACCCACTGAAGTTATATTTGCTTAGACTCTATTTTGGAGAGCCTTACTAAGACCTTGCTTAGCTATAGCAATTACCTCAGCTAACTTCAGCAGGGCTCTCCTGTTGGTACCACTTGAGGATCTCTCTTCAAAATGTTTTGGATCTTGCTTTGCCTCCTGCCTAAGTATGCTGGAGACAAATGTTTTCGAAGACACTTTATTTTTCTGTGGACATTCCGTGTTTATTTATTGCAGTGAGGTAGATTGGCCCTGATTGCTTTATAGTCTGAATGTGAATTTTCTATGGTGCCTTCTGGTTTTCTTTGGCCACATTATTGACACTGGGTAATATAACATGAAAGGATTGTGGATAGGCTTTTACAAAAAAGTCAGCTAAATAGCTATTAGAGGATTAAAAGCAATCTCATGGCCAGGATTACACATCTTTAAAATGCTGATAATATCAAGAAGCAAATGGATTTGTAATTTAACAGCAGAAGAGAGATGACTTCAGATGTCTGGTTTTTTCACATTTGATAGAAAGATTAAAGTGTCTGCATTTGGTGTGCAAGAGTTGGATAAAGCTGTAGCATGGCTGCCTACAGATATCAGTGTTCACCTTTCTTGTAAATAGTAATTGTTCCACATGGAGAGATTTCTTCTGGTCAACACTTTTATTAAAACTTTAATTTTCATGGTGACAAGTTGAATCATTGTCTGCTTTAAAAGTCTGATAATGATACACTTTGGAAGCTTTGAAGAAAATCTTTGTCTAGACAGAAACAGCTTAATAAAGCTTTTGAAATACAGCATTCACTTTAAACCTTTATTGATGCCTGTAAGGAAGCACCAATCCATATTTGGGAAATCTTGTTTTCTACTTCCTTGTGCTGAAATTGTGCAAGAGGTTTGCAAGACAACATGAACTGTGAGAAATAAAAAGTTACAACTTTCCTCAGGAGAGTGGCTCAATCTGTGACAGATTTTTCCCACAGAAAGAATTTCTTTTTCATCCAGAAATTAATTTTTCTATAAAATTAAATTAAAATACATGTGACATTGTGGTTTTGCGTCTCCGGTGTTGAGGTTGTATTGGGAGGTATTTTAAGGACATCTCCAGAGCCATTAAAGATGTATAATCTAAAAAAAAAGAAGCTAAAAAAGTTGAAATGTAGACTTTTAACCAGTCTCCTTGACTTGAGGTCCAGAGGCCTTTTCCAGAATATTATTTCACAAAATCCAGGTTTGATTCTGACTGCAGAATATTAAGGATATGCAACAAATAAACCAGTCCCATGTAGCTGTGCAGCAGATCAGCCTGTGCCTCACACAGGAAGAGACACCCTAATGCCGAGATGGCCAAGCACAGACCCAGGGGTTGGATGCTTTCCACTCCCTTAGACTCATATGGGGGAACATTCCACATGAGAGATAAAGCTGAAAGGGGGCAGAGTCACGGCCTACTTCACTTCCCCAGCCAGCTGATCACAGAAAAGATGGCACACCATCTCTCCAAGATTTGGGAATCAGAGGACTGAGGCTCTGTAGGGGTCACACCTCTGTGATAACAATCTGACCTAAAAATGTATTTGTGGCATTATCTGATGTATCATGCCCATGAAGTAACAGTCATTCTGACAATTTTTATTTTTAGTGGTTTGGTTTGATTTGGCTGTTTATTTTCGTTATATGTATATTAACTGCTTTTCATCTTCGGAGTGCTTTCAAAACAACTGTGTTTCACAGAATTTGCCTCTGGTACTCTGAGGAAGTGTATGTTTTTCATAGATAACAAAGATTTAATCTCTGCTCTGAGGGAGCAATTCAATTCAGGTTTGTGGACAGAATTACCAGCAGCAATACAACATTTCCAGAAATCTCAAAACTGAGTAAGAGGGAGAGAAAGGTTAAATCTTTTGCCAGAAATCACAAGGAAAATAAAAAAAGACAAAAACCAATGGAATCCAATCAGACATTCAGACCTTGTCATTCTCTCCTTTCTTGCGCGCTCAGAAATGAGTGCATTGGCTCTGGATCTGAACTGTCCAGGTAATTAGAACTCTACATTTTTTAGTCTTGGAAGCAGTCTCTACAAAAGTAACAGCCCTTAGAAAAACAAAACAGTTATTAGAAAAGGGAGCTGGCTACCATGTAAAGAATAAAGAACAATGCCCATGACTGCCACGGACACAGCAGCTAAAAGCGTACAAATGTTGAGAGTAGTCTTCTAGAAAGCAGCAGAGTATTTTTATATCAAATAATTCTTATTAGATGCCCACAACATAAACCTGCTCTTTATCTAGATTTAAAAATCTAGATTAAAAATTTAGGTACAAAAGTAGCAGTTCATATTTACTTCCTTTCCGTTTTCTCTATTCCATCCTGAGAATTCATTACTCTTGCAGCCAGCACTGTCCCGTTTATTATCAACTGAAAGTGAAAAAGACACAGCCAGGATTAATTAAATTTTTTATTTAAATGAAATACATGCACACATTTTGAGGTATTTGATCAGTATTTGTTCTTATTTATACAGGAGTATTTTTCCAGGTGTTCAGTCAGCATGACATGAAGGAAAGACAAAAAAATACAAAACCATTTCATCAAGATGAGGCTAAAAAAGCAAAAGTTGGAAAGATCTGTGGGAAGTGCACAGGTAAGAAGTTTACTCCCTATTCAAAATAGGATTTAAGGACATAGCTAAATGTTATTGAAATCTGGCTTCAGAGAAAGGAAGATTTTAGAGCAATTTGGAGACAAATTCTTATTTTAAGTAGACACAGTCCAAATTAAAGGCATTCCACAGATTTTGACACATTAATTTTAAAAAGTGTATTCTTCGAAAAAGTAATACCATATTCTAAATAAAAGGAGAAATACCTACATTTTCATACAGATGTAAACTGATATCTTCAATGTTTCCCTTTTTGTACACACCATTGTCTAACCACAACAGGTTATATTTCTAAGCATATAATTTCTGACCTGCCAAAAAGACACAATCAAGACCATTTTGTCCATGAACTCAGATTTCAGAAAAGCAGAAAAAAGGCATTTTTTCAGTATCATGAGTGAAGCTTTGCTTTTGAAGGTGCAGTTTTACAGAACTCTGATTCCCTCTTCCTAGCATTTATTAGAATGAAAGTTTCCAATTTCTTTTCCTGAAAATTATCCTTAGAATAATCACCAAATAGCCAGTGTCCAATGTATGAGCTACTTCTTTCACTTTAGAAGATGCTGTAAGAGAAATTCATTCCCAAATTTAGCCTTATTTTTATTTTTTAAACTGTTGTTTCGGAAATAGAAGTATTTCTGTGAGTTTTCTAAAATATTTAGGGAAAGACATTTTATCTAAATCTTATCTTTCCCCATCCAAGTGTTTGCAATGCAGTGCATCACAGGTTAGCAGTCAGGAAAAACAGACAATAAAACTTACTGGGCAGAGCAGGAGGAAGGGGAGGGGAATTTCCTGAAATGGATTTATCTGGTTTTACTGTCTCAAGTGAAAGGTAAAAGAAAGTAGAACAGAATAAAAGCTGAAGAAAAGTAGAATGCCAGCGTTGGTCTAGTTTAACAGTCCAAGGGAAGCTTAGTAACACAGCTGAAGCAACCTAAGAGATATCTCTTTGCTTACAAGTCATCTTTAAGTTTTGTATGGTAAACAGTTAAAGTCCTTTGACAGACTGAAAATACCTTTTTTTTTCCTTTTCCTAGTTGCTTTTTCTTTCCCTGGGATTAATTTTCATCTGTAGAAAAATCCCCAGGGTTTTCAATTTTTTTCAGCTGAACTTGAAGCTTTCTGTCTCCAGAGAAGAGACCTAGCTGCCCGTCTCCTCAAATTCACTGTAGGGGGATGAAGCTGAAGAAGTTTTAGACTCTCCATCACTGTTGCACTCCCGTGGGGGACCAGGACTGGGAACTTCTGGGAGCTCCTTGGCAGAGAGCGTTTCCTTGCTGTTAGAGCCTAAGGAATGGCAGTCCAGCAAGCTCTGCAGGTGTTTGATGTAGCTTATTGCAGCTCTCAGGGTCTCCACTTTGCTGAGGCGCTTGTCAGTGAATTCCTTGGGCAGGTGCTCTCTCAGGCGTGTGTATCCCTCGTTCACGCAGCGCACCCGCTGCCTTTCCCTCTCGTTCCTCTTTCGAATGAAGGCAGGCTCAAAGGAATAGTCATAGATGCCCATGTAGCCAGGGAATGGGATGTAGGAGATACGACCTGTGTGCCCACTATAGGCTTGCTCCCAGTAAGATGGGTCCAGATGGAAAGGAACCCCAAAGGGCTCTCTCAGGGGTATCCCGTGGGAATGCACATGGCCGTTAGCCAGAGACATAGCTCCTGGAAATGCAATCCTGTTCAATAGTCTGTCATCATCTTTAGTGTTGTCCATGCTTCTTTTTTTTCTCACCAGTGGAATGTTAGTTCCCGAATTTGGCTTCCAGTGTATTAATCCAACATTTGTATAGGTACTGTGCCCCGCAGGCTGCAGTTTCTTCCTGTGTTGTATAAAAACTCAGATCTGAAAGCACAGCTAACAACTCATGAGGTCCACTCTGTGCCTGGAAATCAGCTCTAAGCCCTGTTGTTTTTATACATGTAGGATGCCAGCTAATGTACAGACAGGTTTCGAGGACCATCACTCCACACTTTAAACCCTTCTTTTCCTCTGATCTTCATATTTCAAAAGATAATAAGAGGGTTCCTGTGTATTCCTTTTCTCTCCACTTGAAATTATGACCATAAGAGTTAATGCCAAACATAAATAATCTTCCAGGCTCTAAACACTTCTCATGTATTGTAATCCATGATATCGTTTGATATAATTGCCTCCAAAAGATGGGTAATTTGCAAAGTTTACAGAGATCTTCAAAGTTTTGGCAGAACTCCTCCCTTTCAGGAACCAAGGATCTTCTGTCATCTGAAAACTACCCAAAGGCTTTTCACAATGAAATCCAAAAGACAACTGCAAGCTTTGTTGTTTTGGCTGCTCTGGTCTAACTGAAACAGCTCACAAGCAGTTTGCAGAACTTATATGGTAAGTCTCTAGCTTTCTGGGAAAGCCGAGAAATCTTCAAAGGGAAGAGTGCTCTCTTGTGGTTGCAAGTCATGTCAGATCAAGAATGCAATATGTGCAAGTGTAAGAGGAAAACTGCTTTCTTTGCCCTAAGAGAGGCTTTTTCAACAAATGTGAGTTTCACAAATTGAACATGAGCATTTTCAAAAAATCTTCAACATTTTGAGAGTTTCTGCTCACTGTAAGAATGTCTTGGTCATCACTGTGAGCACCTGCTTCAGATAAACAAAAAAAAGGTGATGCCTTGATAGCCCCACGTGCAGCTATTAGTAGATGTTTACATAGATTTAACTCACCTGATGGACCCTACACACTGCTTTAGTGGGGGAGCAGAAAATCCCTCGACTCTGCCAGATTTATGCTGTGTCCTCCAGTTTGCCTGCAGCTTGCCCATGAAAAGAGGTGGACAAAAGGACTTTTGACAGTGTAAGGTCATAATGTCCTTGTCTGTGCCTTTCCTCTGAGATATCCTGCTGTGTTAGGATCTTCTTCTGCAGCAATTTGAGGGTCTTTGACTTTTCCCACATTTTTGTTCAAGAGCTCCATAGTTACATTTTTTTGTTGAAAACACATCTTAACAGTTTTATCATCTTAACAGAATTTCCAGACTATCAGTCTGGAAAGTGGAACATTTGGTGTGGGAGAGCTGTGGGAAGGGACGGACATGAAAAGATACAGGTATGTAGGCTCTATTAAAACTGTTCTTTTGCTCAAAATGAAAGTTTCCACCCTGTTTAGTCTCTCATGCCAAACTGCCTCAGTAGTGTGAGTAACTGAAACAACATCCTCCACTCTGATAAACACATTTGTGTTTCTGCTGAGTTAGAAACCAGCAGCAATGATGTTAGCATACATTTTCAAGTCAGCCATTGTGTCTTTGCTGGCCTATTCTGCAGCTTCAAAAAACAATGGTAATCTTCAAAGCATGATGAACGTACAGGCAGACTGTTCCAGACAGGCATGAGTGAGAAGAATCCTGGACTCTGGTTTATGTTGGGGCAGAATCAGCACCAAAATGGCTCAAAAGCCAGGACAACCACCCATTTACTTTCACCTCCATCACTGACATGGACTAGCAAGAACTGGTGTTTGAAGCTGAAGGCTTTGTAGCATCACCTAAGAGATAGCCAGTGGTTTTCATGAGGGGTTGAGATCTTTTCCAGTCACAACCAAGTATCTTTCCAAAATATGTGCCATAGCTCAGATGGAATGTATAGGTGTGAGGTAAAAATTACCGAAGAATGCCCCATGGCATGTACAATTAATTTCATAACCAAATAATTGAGAGACTTTCTGCCTTTTAAAAGGTCTTCAGAAACGGTTGATCAGGATGGATTCTTCAATATCACTTACACTATAAACTCTGTTGTCCAGAAGAAACGTTTTCAGAAATGAATGATTAAAAGAAAATAACTCCTTCACTGTAGCGCTAAGGTAGGCCAGGACTTTAAGGTTTCCTAAAACAAAGAGGATGTTGACCTCTAAGCAAATACCTGAAGTAGGAAAAGGACATTCAATCTCTGTCATCATTTGACTGAAAACGTTGCTTTCTGGCAGTATTCCTGAAGCATGCCTCTTGGGGGGTCTCAGCTGCCAGATGATTTCACAGCTCTCCATGACCTTGCCAGCAGTCTAGCCATGTTCAAAAGGCAGGGTTACGTTTCAGTTCTGTCATGCAAATGCACTATGCCCTGCTGCCAGACCTCTTTTCTATGTTTACTGTAAATGCAGGCCACCGGCACTTCCCAGAGTGTCACAATTGCACCTGTGCCAAACAGACATCTGCTCTTCTGACAGAAAATCCACATTGCTAATCCTTTAGGGAAATACATGAAGAAAAATTACAGGTAGATGTTAATTGTTAAGCTGAATGATTGAAGCTGATCTCGCATCAAATGGACTCTGAAGTCTGAATTTGTTTGTGTGCGACAAATAAGAAAATACGCCACAGACTTCTGATGAATGTGGTATCTTGTTTACAATCTAATGTCACTTGCTCGGAAAGGGATTTGCCCCTGGGAAGAGAGCCAGAGCAAGGCCAACGCACCTTATTTCTCACTGAAGGTCCTTGTTAATAGTGCTAGCAGGATTAAAGCAATGTCTCCTTCCTGCACTGACTTCTGCAGAAAGAAGACCCTTCTCAACATGTCTGCACATGCAGACACAGTGAAAGTAGCAGGTCTGGTCCACCAAAGGGAAAGGCTAATACACGTTCTTTTCAGTTTTAAGAGTAGGTTAAGACTACATGGATAATGTTCCTCTTCTAAGATAAGCCCTTGATCTTCTTTCTTACACTGTTTCTCCAATTAACTCCTCTTCACACATTTGTCTGGACGATCCTTTGACTCCAGAATGCAATATCCTCCATGCTGATACAAAGCAGATGGCCTGATTTGCTTTCCAGGTGGTAGAAATGAGATGTTGTTCACTGCTCTACAATGGCAGAGGTCGTACTGTTTGCGTACATATTGTATGTTTCGGTTTGGTTTGGTTTGCTTGGTTTGTTTGTGATCTTGTTGTCGGTTTTTTGTTTTGTTTTGCTTTTATAATACAAAGTCTGGGAGATTCCTTAAAGACTCCATTGTCTATGGCATTTGAACAGGTTTCCTTCCTTCTCTCTTTCCTTTTACTTCACTATAAACACTTAATTACCCAGCCACAATGAACAGAAAATATTTCTGACATATCTAAAAATAAAACATTAAGGCATTTTCCTTCCAGATATAACTTAGTTGTGATTTTAATTGCATATATCCTAAAACAATATTTATAAGTATGTAATCTTTGTACAAAAGAACCGTCAACATGATCACACTCTCACATGGATAACACTATTGACACTACATAGTGATTGCTTTGAACTACTTTGAATTATTCAAAGAAAGAGATTTTCCTTGGCCCTGTGTCCCTCTGTGTGTGAAAAAAAAGTCATCAGTTGAAATATTGTAGTAGAAACACAAGAGTCAGTTGAACACAGGCAAGTCCACCTATTTCCCAAAAGATGATGTCTGAACTGTTTTATCAGTAGATACATTACTGAGAAGGAAGAAGAAGAAAATCCGTGGGGAGTTTAAAAAGAAACTCTCACAACATCGTGCACTTCCTATATTTTAATTGGCTGTAATTATATTAAATTGTAGTATTTATTATACATATCATAGTTTGTCTAGGCTGCTGCAATTTATTAACAGACATAAAAATATGCAATTAACAGATTTTCTTGTTAACTGTATGCCACAGAATGACAGTAATAACTTCACTTGACACTGAGACACAGGAATACAAGATTCAATAGGTTTGTGTCTCTCTAATCCTGTTCTGTCATTAAGCATGGGCCATCTCTTTCCAGCTTTATAGCTAGAAGTGAGAGCTGCACATAAACTACCCAGGTTTCATAGTGTGACTATCACCAAAATACAGGCCTGCAAAGTGCTGACAAGGATACCTGAAAAGGTGGTGAGAAATTTGGATTTTTGATGTTAAAAAAGTTGGCTTCAGCCATTGCTTTTTGCATAATCTTCATTCCAATGTAATTCTGCTTGCTCTGAGAAAGAACCCAAGGGCAGATTTGCAGTAGCAGAAGAGAACTGATTGTACGGAGATGTGGGCGTGGTCCAGCAGGGACTTTGGCTCATGCTACAGGGAAGGACTGAAGCATGCTCACTGCATTTCTTTCCTCTCTGGTTTCATGAGTCTCCCTTATCTTTTTAGTGTCTCCAGGATCTGAAGACAACTTGAAAAATAGCTTGACAATTTGTTCCTCACGCAGCAAGTACTGCTATAAATGTCAATAAACCAAGCTTTCAGGACACATAGTGCAGTCGTCTTATCAAAACCCTTCACATATAATAAAAGTGTTTGGTATATAAAAAATATCTTTCCTTGGAGAAGAAACAGTCCCCAAATGTGTTTTATCACAATACCTTGGGCATGCAGCATACATCTCTGTAGACACAGATTAATTTCTCATTCAGTGACACTTCATATTATCACTGGCTTCCTTTGATACTTGTGCTTTAAACTGGTAGTTAAGATTTAAGATATTCTGTGTTCAATGGAGTAAAGTGACTACAAAAAAAGCTGGAATCTCAGAGGACTCACATTTGACAGTAGGAAAAAAACCACTCTTATCTGTGTATGATTACATCCAATCTGGCTCATAGGCTCAAAGTATTACTTTCAGCTCAGATAGCTGAAATAGCACAAGGATTTCAGCACCAGGGCACTTCTGCGGTAGAATTACACTATCATAATTGGCATTAAGACAAGCTGAGGGCTTGGGATAACCTAGCATTTCAGGACAGAACTGAGATGTACTGAGCATAACTGCAGAGTTGTAAAGATGAGAACAGAAAATTGAAGGTCTCCTGTCATCTCCTATGTATTAGGGAATGCAAAGTGAAGAGAGAGATTTTTGGGCTTGTAAGAATTTGCTGCAATTTCTAAGAAAGATGTGAAGTATTAGCACCATGTGAATATGTGGTACTACATACACAAAAATGAAACACACATAAAGCCCCTATCAGAAGATTATCAGCCCCTAAAAACCTGAGGACTCGATGAGTTCATTCTTGACTTGATGAAATAATGTTTGTGGGCCAATTCAGCTACAGTCAGTCATGGTTAGGGTAAGGATTATCTGGCTTAGTGGATGAGATGTTGTGGGATATGTGGTAAACTAAATGAGGTCATTCTTTTTGTCATGAGTGACAGAGGCCTGGATTTACTTTGCCTAAATGTACTCCTTTAGATGTTACATATTTAGACTAAAGCAATTACACAGGTCCCAGTTAAAGGCCATAGCTATAGAAAGGCAGATACAAAGGAAATTCTCACACATCTCAGACAACAACTTCAGGATGGAATGAAGCACTCTGCAACAGACTGTTTTCTCTCCTTCAGCTACAGAGAGAGCTTGAAGAACTAGTGTATACAAGGTGTTTAACTTTCTGACAGGTATAGCCAAATGAGGAGAGCATGTTTCCACCCCTAGAAGAACTGATAGGTTTGTACTGAACTGGAATGACTCTCTCAGATCCTACATTTTAGGCCCTTTAGATCATGGAATGACTCTTATGGATCCTACATTTATGTTCTTCAGATCAAAAGAGAGAAGACAGAAAAATACTGAGAGTTTCCTCCTGTGCAGACAGACATCTTATCAAGGGATGTCTCATTTAATGAGGCATCATTTACGTGTCAGGCACAATCAAATTACCAAACCACATTACGGTGTTTCAGGAAACAGCTGTTCACCCCGGCACTTAAGGAACATGTAGATTGACTTGAGCTGCATATGTGATGATTATCCACGTGTCAGGCGAAAGCAAGCTACAAAACTACTCGCAGGCATCAAGAGATTCCTTTGCAATGTCGCCTCAACCGAAATGCTACATATGAGCCATAAATCAGTTCATAACTGAACGATAATGTGCAGAAGGTAGCTGGTGATGGTTCCAGACGACACGAGACACAACCCTCTAATGACAGCAGACATATACGGATGTAACGGGCAGGCAGTGAGACAGCTGGGAGAATTGTGTGGGAATATTGTGTGGAACCACTGTGTGGAAAACCAGAGCACGCATCGCTCCCTTCCGAAAGGCGCGGCACGGGGAACGCTGGGCACGGGCTCTCGGTCAGCCGGCGGAGCCGGGGCGGGCGGTGAGGGGCCGAGTCCCGGGGCGGTGGCGCCGCTTCCGCCGCCGAGCGCCACAGCCAGGAAGCGGCGCCGTCCCCTCCCGCCGCCATCACCGCCGCCCGCTCCCGCCTCCCCCGCCCGCCCGCGCCGGGCCCGCGCCGCCCGGGGCCCGCCCATGAGACGGCGGCGGCGGCGCTGGGGGTTGCGGCCGGGCCGTGCCTGGGGCCGGAACCGGGGCCGGGGGCAGGCGGCGGGCCGGGGCCGAGGGCCCTGATGCGGCTGCGGGCGCTCCGCCGCCGGAGAGGCGCCGGGCTCCATGCACCCCAGGTGAGCACCTCGGAGAGGCGGGCGGGACCCCGGCCGATGGGGCGGGCAGGGGAGGGTGTCCCTAAAGCGTTCAGCGCCTCCCGCAGGCCCCGAGGCTCGGTCCCGGGTCGAAGGTGGTGGTTCCCTCCCTTGGGCATCGCCATCCTCAGCAGCCGCTTGGGCCGAGGGATAAATGCCCTGCCCCGGCGTGCAGCCGGAGCCCTCGGCACCGTCCCTGGAGGCAGGTGGCAGGGTAGGGCAGTGCGTGTGCGGAGCTGGGTGGACGCGGTGTGAAAGTCGGCGACGCCGTTCGTGCGGCTCAGCCCTCCGGGTGTCAGGTGCTGTGCGGGGGGCTGGGGGCGGACTCGATGGTCCCTGTGGGCCCCTTCCGAGATCTTCCGCTGTTAACTCGCTAGAGTTCGGTGTATTTGGCTGTTTTCCTGGGTGAGCGGTATACCTTTCCTTACTGGAATGGCAGTCTAAGGTCCAGCTCTCCATCAGTACTGCAGCACCTGGGCCTGCTGCTCGCAAGGGCCATGTGACAGGCTGGACCAGCGGGGAGGGTGTTGGGTCTCCTTGCCTGAGTTGTGGCTGCTGTGGGGTAGCTGGTCTGTCCGGCCCTATGAGCTGCTGGTTAGAGCTGCTGTGTGGGCAGGAGGGCCAGGGTGGGCAGAGCATAGGCCAGGCAGAGCTTGTGAAGTTCCGACAAGCATGAGTTGACCGTGTCTCCTTGGTGTCCCCATCCCTATGGACTGGTTTGGGCTGCATGTGCAGCCTGAGACCCCAGAGGATAGATGTGCCTGGAGCTGACATGGTTTGGCGATTTCAGGTGTTGGGCAGCGCATTGGCTCCTGCAGCTCTACGACCACTGATGTGGTGTGTGCTCACCTGAGCCATGCAGGCACTCAGGAACCAGTATTTGCTTACTCTGAAATAACGTGTCACCCATGGTGCCAATTTGTAATGGAATAGGAGCATGTAGAACCAGACTGAGGCAGCCTATTAAAATTCTGTACTATGACTGTTTTGCAGTGGTAACTCTTGTCACTGTTGGCCTGGTTTGAACTGATGGTGAACTAGAGATTTTGTGTCCATTACCAGTGGGAAGTGATCTCTCCCCCGACTTTGGTTTTCAAACGTGAATGTGGTGTCCAGAAGTCATGAAATTTAAATCAGGTGCTGTTGTCTGAGTATTTGTAACATTCAGCTTGCAAATTGATCTGTGTTCACAATACTTTAATCACAGTGGCTTTGACTGCTAGGAGCGAGACTGTGTTTTCTGAATGGTGAGGAAAAAGCTATGGTCTGATTGTCTTTTTGAACTAGTTTTAAATCCTTATTATTGCTATGTAATCTGGTCAATACGTATTGATCGTGATGTGATGACGATGTGAGTGGCTGATGTGCTTTATGCTTAGCTTTCTAAGGCAAAGTTTTTATGCGCCAATGTCTGAGTTTTTTTGCTCAGCCCTTCCTCACCACAGTACAGTCAGTAATCAGGAATGCTCTTGCATCTGTTTCTTTGTCTTTTTCCCCCTCCCCTCTCTGTTCCCTGGCTCCAGAATGAATGAAATGAACCTGAGTCCTGTAGGGATGGACCAGCTGACCTCATCCTCTGTGAGCAATGCCCTGCCGGTCTCGGGGAGTCACTTGGGGTTGGCGGCGTCCCCCACTCACAATGCCATACCAGCACCAGGTAACGGGGAAAGGCCCCACAAAGGGTATTGCAGCTCATGCTCTGTGTTTTACTGTCACAGGAATGGTCATAACTGAGTAGCAAGGCTTGCTCTGATAGCAAGTCATATCTTTAGCAGGTGGTGAGGTGATGTAGAGTTGGGGAAGGGGAGACCATAAATCGTTGCTGATGTGGGCAAAGCAAAAGGCATGAGTCTTATCAGGCTTACACCTTAGTGGCAGCCTTGTTTTGTTCGGGGTGGGGGGGTGGGGGGTGGGGGTGGTGGGGGTGGTGGTGTCGGTGTCGTTGGTTTGCACTGTAGGGGAGTAGTAGCAGAATCCTTTGAAATACAAACTATAGCTGAAGATCTGCCTCCATCTGAGTCTAATCTCTCTCAGGTGAAAATAATGATTTTTCACCTGTGAAGCAAAATTGTTTTCCTAGCTCTTTTTTTTCAGGGGATTGCACAGACAGAAGTCCATTACAATTGTAAAGTAGAAGCGAGCCCTACAAAACGTATCCAGAAAAGATCTGGCTGTATTCAGGCATACCTCTCAGTGCTGTGATAACTGATCCTTTCTTTGAAGCTTGCCACCTTACTTTGACAGTACCATGCTGTATTTCCATAGGGAGAGAGCTCCTGAGGAGCTTCATTAGTTTGTGTGTTCCTAAACTTAAGTAGTTCTGTTGAGTTTAAATTGGCATTTTCTCTTGCAGGCTTGCCTGTTGCAATTCCAAACTTGGGCCCCTCCTTGAGTTCCTTGCCCTCTGCTCTATCTCTGATGCTCCCAATGGGTATTGGGGATCGAGGAGTGATGTGTGGTATACCAGAGAGAAACTACACCCTACCTCCGCCACCATACCCTCACCTGGAGAGCAGCTATTTCAGACACATTCTACCTGGTAAGTTGTCTGGTGGTGATGGAGGGGAAAAGAAAGAGAAACTGTTTTAAGAGCCACCTGTTTCTGTCCTGAAGCCGGCAAGACTGACTGTTTTGCAGAGCTGTTATTTCCATGCCTTTGTCTGGAGGCTGTTGTGTCATTTACACACCTTTATTTTCAGGTATCTTTTGCTGTACTTGTGAATGAAGAGAATTGCAGGGCATTTTCTATTTAAACCAAACCTTTGATTGCTACTCCTGCTTTGGTTTTTAAGATTAACAGAAAACAAAGCATGCCTGGGTTCTGTCTCCAGTGTCTTACAGTTTGAAAGCTGCTTCTATTTTTCTTCTCCTATAGGCTGAAGCAGTACTTAATATGTGCATAACAGTAGGTCACAACAGTTCAAAGCTCAAAAAGGGCAAACCATCAGCTGAGGAGTTTGGGCTCTTTCCCAATGGCACATTTTTTCTTCGTTGTTGTTCAAGGTTGATTTTCAAAGGCCTAACATACTGACTTGTATCTTGATTCCTCTCTCATGTGTGCTTTAGATATAAATGTAGAATTTAACATGTTAGTATGTGAAGACACAGAAATCGGAGCTTTAAATATAGTCCTTGTTTTGTTTTGTAGCTAAGATTGGCAGGGTGGAAGGGTAGTTAAACTTCTTCAGGGTGACCCAGTGGGTGTTGTTGGTTCAACCTAGGTTAGGGAAAAAAGCTATAGCAGCCCAGATCTCATCCAGCTTCCTGTTGACTAATGGCTGAATTTTCCAGCTGCTTAGGAGTAGCCTTTCCTACTGCGTAACCTGCCTGCCTGTTTAGTGAGCAAAGAGTACATGAAGAGAGTGCATTAGGACCAAAAGTATTTCCCATTCTTCTGAGCTGGAATAATCTTTCTAGTTCCTGTGATGTTTAGTCTGATGTTTCACAGGGCTCTTCCATGAGTCATCTTGCTGCTTTCAGGGCTCCTCTTTGTTCAAGCCACAAGGCAGCATTGCATGCAGAAATATTTGATCCAGCTGATTAAATTAAACTGTCCATTTCTTGGCTTAGTCATTTTTAATGGGGTTATGCTGCAGAAAGAATATCCGTGTTTGCATCCTTGTAATAACAGACATATTTGAATGGAACACACTTACAGATCAAATGGCTCATAGGGTTGAAGGCCAAAAAGAAACATGCTGACTCAGATCTTCCAGAATCTGGAAAATCTGCCCCTCTCTCTGCTGAAAATACTGTTTACTTGAATGTGCAGATGTATTTCTTCCAAAGATTTTGTTTTTGTTTTAGTGTGTAAATACAGGTGTTTCTTCATATCGTAAGTTTGAAGGTTGTTTGATTTTTTTGAGAGACTTTCCAGAACTACCAGAAAAGATGTTAGGGTTTCTGATTTAAATTTAACCAAGCTATTGTTTTAGGAGAAACAACGTATTTTTCATGTAAGGAAAGAGAGCAGATGAGTCATGATATCTGTGAGAGACCTTATCTGTGTCCTTCAGAACTGCAATTGATGATCTCTGAGGTGGACAGTTGTGCCACTTAGTCTTAGAGGAAGGAAGTAGTCATTGTTAAAACTTAAATACCTAAGCAAAAATGATGTATCCTGGAGAATTGTTTTTTCTTCTAGTGAAGATGAACCAGGGTTATCAAATTATAGATTCCTCTAGCAGTCCTTCATCCTTTGTGAGCTAGTTCTTGAGAATGAAAAATTAAGCCTAAAATGTGAAGAACCTCTTTCTGATTGAGTCTTTGTGCTGAGGAGCTAAGGTTACATTCTGCCAAAAACTTGGCTGTTCAGAGTTTGAGAAATAACTAGAGACTTGCTCTGTTGAATTTGTTGTCAAATGATATTTTGACAAGAGTGTTGGGTTCATGTATGTTTGTGAGGCATGTTTTAGATGTAATGGATTTTAATTGGAGATAATGTAGAGAACGCCTTCAGGGATCTGGGTCTCAAGGTGCTCTGCTGGGATTGATTTTTGTTCGAGATTTGAAAACTGATGTAACCTCACTGTCTTCTTTTTCTCCCTCTCTTCCTATCAGGTATCTTATCTTACTTGGCGGACAGACCACCACCTCAGTACATCCATCCCAACACTATAAATGTTGACAGCAATCCAGCATTGTCAGTCTCCAACAATCCATCGGCTCTGGATCCCTACCAGCCCAGTGGAACCGTGGGGCTGGAACCAGGGATTGTCTCCATGGACTCCCGCACAGTGAACACACATGGTCCTCAAAATCTGCATCCTAGTGACAGCCATGAGGTAGCACTGGATACTACAATCACCATGGAGAGCGTTTCGAGGGTAACCAGCCCTATCTCCACAGATGGGATGACAGAGGAGCTCACGATGGATGATGTAGCCGGGGATCATTCACAGATCCCAAATGGCTCCCGGAGCCATGAACCTTTATCCGTAGACACAGTGGGGAGTAACTTGACATCGGACGCTGTGGGACACGGCGGTGTCATTCCCATTCACGGTAGCACTTTGGAACTCCCTGTCGTCATGGAGCCCGACCACATTGGCGGGCGAGTGACAGGGATATCGGACAGCACACTAAATGACTCCATTCATACTGTGGCCATGAGCACCAACTCCGTGAGTGTGGCGCTCTCTACCTCACACAACCTCGCTTCCCTGGACTCAGTAGCCTTGCATGAAGTGGGCCTCAGCCTTGAGCCAGTGGCGGTGTCTTCCATCAATCAGGAAGTAGCCATGGGGCCAAGTCATGTGGATGTGTCTGCAGACAATCTTGCCTTTGTACCACCCTCTCTGCAAATGGAAGACTCCAATTCGAACAAGGAGAATATGGCAACCTTGTTTACCATATGTGAGTGGACATTTCCTGCTTTCTTGGGGTAGGGTTTGTCATGCAGCTATTGTCGAGTGGGATGACAGGACTCTTGTTGCTAGTCTTACAGATTAATGGTAAAAGAAATGCTGTTTAACAAGTCCACAAAAGTTGGAACATTTGCAGTGCCAGATTAACTGTGCTGAAATGACAATATTTGGAAGTAGACATAGTAGGATGTTTTAGCATAATTCTCTTTGTATCCATCTCCCATGTTGCCTTGAGGTTGAAAGCTGAGTCTTTATGAACCTCTTGCCTTCTGTGGATATGCAAATATTATCGTTTGAAATGAGAGATTTTTGTTTTTAAAGTCACATCACAAGTGCATGAAAAATACACAACAAATACCACCACAAACCGTACATTCAGTCAAGTGGGTATAATTGTTGAGTATGACATTGTGTGATTTTGCAAAATTTTTATTAAAACATGAGCAATCATCATGAAAATGTTATTCTCAACAGGACCTGCTGGAAAAAAAGAGCAGAGAGAGAAGGAACATTTTAATATTTCTAATTATTCTCATCAAAGCACTTTAGTCCAGAGGTTAGTTGATCTCATAGGGAGAGAGGAGCACTGAGTACTGCACTCTCAATCCTGTTATCATTCAAGGAGTGGTGTTTGAGAACTGTGAAGTTCTCATTTGCTGGGACAGAGATTTGAACTTTCACCTGCAGCATGTCTGGATTCTCGCCTCTAAAGCATAAGGTCAGCTTTTATAATCATTTTTATTAGCTGTGGTAGCATTGCTGAGGGCTGCTCTTTATGCAGCCTGGCCCTACAACTGCCAGGACCTTATGGCTAGCTTTGCCTGCAGAGCATACTTTAAGAAATTGGAAGACGGAGCGCCTTGGTTAAAATTGGGAGAGGTGCAGTTTGGTGCAAAGTGTCTAGTCAGACAATTGAATTAAACTTTTTGTTCTGTGGGATAAAATATAACTTAAAATCAGGTGGGCATAGAACTGTGATGAATTTACCACTCCTAAAGGAAGAGTTTTGCAGTTAATGCACTCAGAAGTTCCTACAGGCATCTGTTGCGTGTTGAGCAAATAATGATCAAAATACTGTGGAATCCAACATGCTTGTGGTGAAATCACTTCTCTTATTCAAAGTGGGATTGGAAGTGCCAGTTTATTGTTGCTATACTTAACACAGTCCTAAGCTGTTTCCCAGATGATGCTCCCCTTTGGTAGGATAATAAAATGGCTGTTGCATGCCTAGTGCTTTCATGTGATTTGCAAAACAGATTCTTGACTTGGGAAGGTTTAAATTTTAACTTTGTATTGTTGTTTCTAAACTTCTCGTGAATAAAACATGAATTTGTGTCCAGACAGGTGACAGCAAGGACAAGGAGTTGGTTTAGAGCCCCTTGGTGGTTTTTCCTCACTGAGAAGACAGGAGTCAGGGCCTTTTTCAGAAAACTTTTTACACTGTTCTTAAGCAGGAAATAAGAAGTGTGCCTTTGCTACAGTCTTGAATGTTTGTGAAACTTCTAAGTAGCCCCTTTTGTGGTCATCTTTGTTGACAGTTCTGGGTATCCAAATCAGTGAAGTAATGACTGGGTATTTTTGTTTGGTTGTTTTTTTGGGCATTATTTGGAAAGGACAGGCATGGAAAGTGTATTTGACTTTCTGTAGAATGTGAGATTTTTTTTTTTCAACTTCTTAAAAATATATGAATCCCTGAACCTTTCCAAGTGGAAGTGTCTCATGCCTAGAACTTTTCTTCCCTGCCTCTCCTTGGAGCTGTAGTTGGTGTGTGCTAGGCAATGCTTAAAAGCAGCTGTTCCAGATAGTGGTTCTCATACTCAGATCTGGCTGTTGTCATTGCTTTACTCCTGCATATCACCTGTGCACATGAAGCAATGCTTATATAGACTCTACCTAATCATTTTTTGAATACCTTGCTGTCTGTAACTGTGTAGTTGCTCAAACTGTACTTTTTGGGGGTCCGATTCTGGTACTCTGATGTATGAAGGGAATGTCTGAAAATTATCTTTAAACATGTAAGAATGGAGCTGCTGTTTAGGCCTGCCGAAGACTAGTTCTGCGATAGGTCTTTTATACTGGAGTTGGGTCATCAACAGGCCAAAGAAGGTCTTTGTGGAGATCCTGATTAGTTAGCTGAGCATCTTTCTTCTTCAGAATAGTGATTCATCAGGAGAGTGGTTGCTGAGTAGGTGTTGGTTGCTCCATCTGTAGAGAATTAAAATTACATAGTTTTTCTAGATGAAATAATAATGCTGTAGAGAGCATTTTATGATGTACCTTTTCTCAGAGTTATTAGACTGAAGACTTTCAGTGGTTTCTTTTTCAGCAGTACTTCTGCTGAATGATAGATTGGGAAAGCGATGGTACTGATTCTTCTTGGGCTTTTGTTTTTGTTCCATTCAGTGACATACTCATACTGTATGAGTTTATTGCAGTGAGTCCTTCAAAAGTAACAGTAAAGTGAGGTTTTTGCTGCTGTAAAGATTTACACAGTCTGAATTCAAATGAAGGTAAAGGGATATCTGAGTTCAAATTAGAAACATTTTAGAAAGAAGACCTTTCTGTCCCCTTGCATGGATATCCTTGAGGTTCTACGTGCAAGAAGTGTTTCCGGTAAATTCCAAAAATGTATCCAGTTAGAAAGTGTTTGGTTTGGTATGTCTTAGATTTTTCTGCCAATAAAGTTCATTGCACTCGTGATCAGAGTAAAAATGGCTCTCACATCATCAGCGTTGCTGCCAGCTCTGGGGAGACTACTATCCATTTTGCAGTAAGGTTGATGAAGAGTGGACTCTGTCCCATTGCTAGATTCCCCTGCAGGGATACTCTGGAGTCTAGGAAGGTAGGTAGAGATTCTCACATTTGATCTGAATTGGACAGGAACAGTGACATCTATGTCAGTGCCCATCTGACTGTAATAATATGGTCTGTATTCTTCTGAGTAAAACATATTTAGTGGACAAGTTGAACCTGATAGAACCAGACTTTGTCAGGAACTGAGCCGAAGCATATTGGTAGAGAGCTGATTGCACCATGGGAGCTGTTGCATCTTTTTAATCCCTGTTGTCCTTCTCCCTCTCCGCAGGGTGCACACTGTGTGACAAGGCGTATCCGTCGGACTGCCCAGACCACGGGCCCGTCACCTTTGTCCCTGACACCCCGATAGAGAGCCGAGCCCGGCTTTCCCTCCCTAAGCAGCTCGTCCTCCGGCAGTCTATCATGGGAGCTGAGGCGGGTAAGAATCATGTTACTGTGTGTTTCTCTGCAGCAGTTTAAAATACACTCACTGCCTGAAATCCAAAACCATGGGGATATTAATGTGGGAAAGAAACACTGGAGAAGAGAGGTGCTTCCCTCATCCGTAATCACCCTGACTTACATTATCCAAGAGCTTCTTGTGCTCTGGTTACTGCGTAGACTTCAACTATACTGTAGGGCTGTTGCCGTAGTGTGGCACATCGTAAGGTCAAGCACAAGCAAGATACGGTGTTTATTTTTATCGTGTTGGACAACTCAGGCACAGCTTTGATAAGAAAACATTGCAGCAGTTGCAGTTTGGGAGAAGGCAACAATTAGAAATAATAGAGGAGATTTCTGTCTGCTCGTTCATCAGCTTGGTTTGCTACCTGTGGGTCTTCTGGACTTCTGCACTCTCATTGGAGTATTGATCATAAGTGCCTCTATTTTTTTCCCTCCCTTCATTTACATTTGGCATGTAGGCTGTGACCTTGTCACTGGATGTGGACCTTGTTACTGTATTTCACGCCATTGTCACCTGGAAATCGAAGAGTACAATGCAATACCCTAAGGATCTGAAGGCTAGAGAAGAATGTGATTATTGGCTTGCTTAGTGATGCTGCTTGTTGAGAGTAGATTACATCTGTTCTTTTCAAGCTGCACTAGTTTCCAGTTTATTCCTAAAAGCTACTCAGTGTATTCATGTAGACCTATATATATAAATGTTTAATAATAAATAATATACATGCAGGAATCCCTCTGCCCATGACAGAAATACAGCTGCCTCTGGGGAGAAATGCAGAAGCTGCTTAACAATGCCCAGCAACAATTCTGGAAATTCCTGGGGATTAGGTAGGCAAAATGTAGTTAATGAAACTAGTATTTTCTGCTTCTGCAGAAAGTGCCATGAAAACTTTAATTGGTAGAAGTGGCTAGGATGTTAGTTTTATAGCTTACTGAAAAGTAAATTACTTGCTTCTGACAAAATAAATATTTATAATTAGAACAAAGCGGCTCCCAATGGTGTCATGTGGTGGTGGTGGTTCTTGTCTCCGCCTTAGGTGTGTTTCACATGTGAAGTAGAAGCTTTGATGATCTTATGCCTAGATATTATCCCTGGAGCATTATCTCATAAACCTTCCACTTCCTTATTATGCATGATTAGTTGTTTAAACCATTGAGTTCTTCAGATTTGGGTCTTCTCCTGATAGGTGTGTGGACACGAGAAACCATTCCTGTGCGGACTTGTTTTGGACCTTTGATTGGACAGCAGAGCCATTCTCTGGAGGTGGCCGACTGGACAGACAAAGCAGCCAGTCACATCTGGAAGGTCAGTGGGTGTTCTGGCTCGTAGATCTGCCAACATGCCTTTATCTGGTGAAACTTGCCACATGACACAGCAACTTCAACGTTATCATCCTTGCCAAAAGTCAAAAGTAAAGCAATTTGATTGTTTAATGCTTAATATCGGCATAACAGAGCTGTATACCATGTAATATGCTGGTAATCAATTTTGAAGTACAAAAATCTTCTTTAATGCCTTTTTTTTATAGGGCTATATGTGGTTTCCACTGTTTGTGTGGAGTTGCAGCAGAGATTATATATGATTCACTAGGCAGCACTTGTTTGTTTCGTATCACTGTTTATTGAAAGTTCCCCTAGGTGATGAATGATTTGTTTTAGGAAAGATGCTTTAAAGCTTTCTTTTCCCCATCGTTTCATGTTCAGAAAATAAACTTGATTTATATAAATAAAACATGTACTGTTTGCCCAGATATTATTATTCACAAAACTTGGTTTGTAAGAAAAGCAGTCAAATGCATTTCTGGTGGGAGCTAAAGGTGATGTGTGGGAAAGATGCTGATAAACAGGTTTTCTAGCCTCCCGGGTAGCAGAGAAGTCAAGATTGCCGTGTGAAGAGGAAAATAAGGAGTAAAAACAGGGCTGTGGTCTTGGCAATGGCAATGGAGACTTCTCAGCTTGTTCTAGGTAAACACGTCCTCTCTTAAAGAAGCTGGCTTTGACTGCATTTATTGCTGTACTTTATCCTAAGATTGCATTTGTTTTCCTGATAGATCTATCACAGTGGTGTCCTGGAGTTCTGCCTCATTACAACTGATGAAAATGAATGTAACTGGATGATGTTTGTACGCAAAGCCAGGTGAGAACCACCTGTACTGTGCTAAGTAGCTTTGAGTCTTGAGCTGCAGGCTCATGAAGGCTGTACAGAAAAGAGAAAGATAATGATCACAGAATATTCTGAGTGGGAAGGAACCCACAAGAATCATCGAGTCCAGCCCTTAAGTGAATGGTCCATAGGGGGATCAAACCCAGACCTTGGCAATATTAGCACCACGCTCTAACCACCTGAGCTGATCTTGGGGTGTACTGGAGAGTGTGTCCACTGCTGCACTGCCTGCCCAGAGGGGGGTGAGCTTGGGGCCAAGGGACCTTCAAGAGTTACCTGGGCATCTTGAACTGGTGGGGAGAATGAAACAGAAGACACAGTGGAGAATGTTACAGGAGAACTGGTACACAAGCTGTCTTAAAATAGCCCCAGACTTGCCCCCATACTTTGTTTCCCTTGTTCTAAAGCTTTAAACCAGGTTCTTTTTATGGTAACTTATTGTGTATTAGGTTGTTACTGCTTTCCCTCCCTATTCCTTTTGGATATGTCTGTGAAGGTGATGTTGATTGTCTTTTTGATTTTAATACTTTATTAGCAAAGTGTGCCTGAGTTCTTTTGGCCAAGTTCCAAGCTCTTACAGCTTGCAAAAGCTGTCCTTTTCAGTCTTTCCAGAGCCTGCAGTGAAAACTGTCTGGACTGGCTTAAGTATTGCTCCATCCATAGTCCACTGAGAAGGCTTTGCTCTGTGACACAAAGTAGGTTTCTCCTAGAGTTCACTTCATTGCTCCCATATGCAAGAGTCAAGAAATGTAATGCTTGATCTCCCACTGCAGTGGGGCAGTTTGCTGGTTTCAAACACTGGGAACAAACATATGCAAGATACTGCTTCAAAAGATCAATGACCACATCTTGGAAATGGAAATCAAGAGGATTTTTTTTAAGATAATTTTGCTTTAAGGCATTACTGATGTTTTCTCCCTCATGCATTCTCTTTTTCTTGAGGGAGTTAATATGAAAAATACATAGATTTCTGTAGTTTCTTAGGAGATCATAAACTCTCTTCTCTCAGCCCACTCCAATGTGTATTAATAATATTCTCAGCAGTAGTGTGAAAAATGCATCATTTGGTGGAGCAGATTGGCTCTCAAGGTCCAGTTTTCCTTTCCCTTAATAAAGAAGGACAGAAGTGACAGACATGAAAGTTTTTATAATGTGCTGAGAAGCACTGAGGTTCTCTCACTACCTATTTATAGGAATCTCCATCTTTTCTCTCTCAAAAAGTCAATACTTCTGGAGGGCTTTTATTCATACCTCTTGTTATTGCTATAGGAACCGGGAAGAGCAGAATCTGGTAGCTTATCCTCACGATGGAAAAATTTACTTCTGCACCTCTCGGGACATCCCACCTGAACATGAGCTTCTCTTTTATTACAGTCGGGACTATGCACGACAGCTTGGTAAGTAAGCACTCGTTTTTGTTGGCTTTGCAGGGAGTACCCACCTTGAATTCCCTTTTAGTGCCATCCCTGGGTGCTGTGACTTGGGAGTGCATTATGTTCCTTCTCAATTCCTATTTGTGCATGTCATAGTTTCCTTTTACATTTCATGACTACAGAGTACCATCTTTTAAAAGAAACATTCCCCTATCTAATTCCACTGATCAGGAGTAAAAGATCACAGTTTTGAAGAAAGAGCGTTGTTTTTCTTCTGTTCATCCACTAAGGGATGCTAAGGGAGTTTTGCTAGCTGAAGATGTTCCTATCCTCCCTCACCTGTGGTTGTGATAATTTTGATTTGGTGGAGCTGTGCTCAAAACTGTTTCAAAGTTTGGCCCCTCAAAACATTTGAAATGACCTACCTAAAAGTGTTGAAAAGCAAGCACTGTAGCTGAAAGGAACAAAGGTGAAAAAACCTCTGCAGCTGGCTTTGCTACCACAGACAAAGTGTTTACATGGATCTTGCTCATGCTGTTAGGCCTTACCGTGCCTCATTAAAAGTGATGCTTTTGTGCTCACAGGTGTCCCTGAACATCCAGACGTGCACATCTGCCACTGTGGAAAGGAATGCGCTTCCTATGTGGACTTCAAGGCCCATTTGAGCAGCCATATTCACAACCACCTCCCCAGTCAGGGGCACAGCAGCAACCATGGGCCAGGCCATGGAAAGGAAAGGAAGTGGAAGTGCTCCATGTGCCCCCAGGCTTTCATCTCCCCTTCCAAGCTCCATGTCCACTTCATGGGGCACATGGGCATGAAGCCGCACAAGTGCGATTTCTGTAGCAAAGCTTTCAGTGATCCCAGCAACTTACGGACACACCTCAAGATACACACAGGTGAGGGTTGGGGGCTTTGTAGAGATGCCTCTGCTAGGAAATCATTGGGGCAGGGTCTGTTTTCTCTGATTCCATGGCCAGTTGGCAGAACAGAGCTTGCGTCCGTAAATATAAGCTCTTAGAAACACAGAATCATAGAATATTTTGGATTGAAAGGGACCTTTAAAAATAATACTCCAAAACCCCCCACCATGGACAGGGACATCTGCTAGATCAGTCACTCCGAGCCCCATCCAGCCTACCCTCGAACAGTTCCAATGGTGGGGCATCTGCAACTTCTCTGGGCAACCTGTTCCAGTGCCTCACCATCCCCATTGTAAAAAAAAAAAAGTCTTCTTTATGTCCGATTTAAATCTGTTTTCTTTCAGTTTAAAAGCATTGCTCCTTGCCCTTGTTACTACAGGCCTTGGTAAAAAGTCTCTCTTTCTTGAAATCCCCCTTTAAGTATTGAAAGGCTGCAATAAGGTCTCCCTGGAACCTTCTATTCTGCAGGCTAAACAGCCCTAACTCTCAGCCTGTTTTCACAGAAGAGGTGCTTCAGCCCTCTGACTATCTTCATGGCCCTCCTTCAGACCTGCCCTAACATCCCCATGTCTTTCTTGTACTGGGGACCTTAGAACTGGATGCAGTACTCCAGGTGGAGTCTCAAAAGAGCAGATAAGAGGAGGAGAATCGCCTCCCTCAACCTGCCTTTCTAAGAATGGATTCTTAGATTCATGTCTGTCTACAGGAATGATCTCCAGTCCATGTTGACCCCACTTAATGCCTGAGCAGTGCCTGAGAGAGCGCCGGTTGGGTGGGATAGGAGTGAGCTGGATTCAGTGGTGTGGGTGCTTATAGAACAGTATGTAGACCTGTGATTTGGTTGATTGTGCCACGTCTAAAAACATTTGATGATTGCATCTAATTGGCCTTCATCTGGGAGACAGAAAACCTTTGTTCCCACACAGCAGGTCCAGCGCTGGTAGCTGCGATAAAACAAGGGTTCCCTTCTGCTCGCAAGAAGGACACCGGGTTTGAGAGCTATTAATGTGGCCAGTTGTCCACTTAAATACAGGCCTGAGATCTTTCCTACTTGAATTGTTTTTTGTCTTAAGGAAATGGCACAAAACTGAAATTGGCAACTGTAGCATCAGACTGTTATGGATTAGGCTCAGCTGTGTCACTCATCAAAAGTAAAGTCTGAACATGCTGTTGACTTCTGTGGGCATTGGGGTATCACTAGAGACTTTGGGGATAAAGGGGGAATTGCCAGCAGATCAGGGAATGAGCACTAACAGAGGAAAACAAAATAGAGATTTTTCAGCTGTGTAAGAAGAGAGGAAATATGAAAAGGCATGGATTTAACACTGAGGGAGGACAGGGGAGAGGGTGAAGGTCAGGTTACAGGCCAGCAATTGACAGTTGGATATTTTTGCCTATTGGGAATCAAAGAATGGAAGTCACTGAACTGGAAAAGGAATAAAACTGGGGGTTTGGTGCCTCAAGTCAAGCATAGAAAGCTGTAGGCTTAGTAGTCAGGAGTTTTAATAAACTGATCAACTACAAATGTGATATACACAACCTCAGAACACTCAGTGGGGTGGGATTCAAATGGTATTCAAACTTAGTGTGAATTCAGTAGTGTGCAGGGCTTTTGAACTATTTCTGGCAAAGAATAGTGGAAGAACTACAGATAAGTGCAAAAATGGGATAAAACATAGGAGTTATCAAAGGGCCAGTGAGCTTTGTACCTGTGTGTTTGTTAGATAAGAGAACTTGTTTTTGTAGACAAAGGCAATGCAGTGCTTCAAATGTGGCTGGGCTCTGGTAAGGCATCAGATACGGTTCCTGTGGGAAATGGGATGTGGAGATGGGGATGTACTAATGTACAGTAACTAGATGGTTACCATGGTTACTATTACAAAAGAAGCTAACATTGTTTTTACTGAAGAATTCATCTTGGATAAGACTAGTCCTGTTAAGTGTTTGCCTGAATTTCTTCACTCAAAAATTTACAGACCTGCTGGGGCTGTTCTGATGTACAGAACAGGGAGGCACAGTTGGTGTGGAAGAAGCAGAAAGCTGATCGCACAGGAAAGACTGACTGACCATGAGCAGTGGAGGAAGAGGAATCAATGGTGTTTAGAAGGACAAAGTGCAGAAACGTGCATCACACAAGGGGCTCGGTGGTTTGAAACAGTATCATGAAGTTTTTTTGGCTTGGAGGCATGGGCGATTGAAAAGCTTTGGGAATGTTGAAGTCAAATGCCTGTTTTTCCCATAGCTAAATCTAGACTGTAGAACTAAGTAGGCCTTTATGCTGAGTCTGAAGGAACTGCAGGAGGAAACAGGTCCTCTTCACAAAGAAAGTGCCTTTCTTCGGGGTAACATTTTATTTTTCAGCAGTGGTTAGGCTTGTTTGCTTCCTGTATTTCTTGGGACACTGACTGTCAACTTGTGGGTGTATGTGTGTAATCCCAGGTCAGAAGAACTACCGCTGTACCCTCTGTGACAAGTCGTTCACCCAGAAGGCCCACCTGGAATCGCACATGGTCATCCACACCGGGGAGAAGAACCTCAAGTGCGATTACTGCGAGAAGCTGTTCATGCGGAGGCAGGACCTCAAGCAGCACGTACTCACTCACACGCAGTAAGTGATCTCACAGGGTGAGTGCAGTAAATGAAGCTGAACAGCCCAAGAGAGAAGCTCCAGTTTGCAAATAGTTTGGCCTAGGGAGTACAGATCAGTTCACTCTCTAAAATGACAGAGAAGTCAGTCTGGACAAAGTCCTTGTTGTACTGGCTGCAGTTGTCCAGTTCTAATGTTTGCAATGTTTTAATGACACAGTAAATTCCAAGCATGCTACTTGTCTTGTGAAATGGCTGTCTGAAGTGTTCATCATTTTGAACAGAGAGGGGGTTGTTTGACTTACACTTCATTCTCTGCTGAGAACTGCTTACACATCCCAACATGACCACAGAAAGACCATAAACTCCTCACTGCTATTCTCGTCAAGTAGCTTGTTAGTGAACTCTGCCTCTATGCACTAGGGATGGGGTGCTGCAATTCCCAGCCCTTTCTTCCCTGCAGGTCTCACTCAAGCACTTGGTCTCCTGCTCCTCCTGTAGGCAGATCCCTACCCACAGCCCTGTGCCAGGCCAGGTCTTTTGCTCTGAGAATCTCTCCATCCTGTATATTTACTCCCAATCAGAAAAAAAAAAAAAAAAAGAAAAGCCTAGTCTCAAAAACTTACTTCCCCAAAGCTAGTTCCTTTGCTTATTTCATTTTTAGCATCTGGTTCTTGTACTCACTTGGAATCCATTGCTGCTTCTGTCATGCTGCCTAGGAGACAGTGTATTGTAGTGAGCATGAGTGAGAGAGGCAGACAGACTTGCCTGGTTGCTTGTTCCTACAGCCTGAGCCAGGAGCACTACTGCTGGGAGGTATTTTGCACTGTCATCTGCAGAATTTGTTGCAGTCTAGTAAGGTCCTCAAGCTTAGCATTTATGGCTGAGGATTGTTAACACTCAGCAACTTTGTTGTCTTATTTCTTCCCTGTTCCCCCTGCTCCCCATTTACGAAGGGTGGGAAGGAGCGAGACTGACCTTTCCATCAGGGCAACATCTTTGCTCTTGCCAAAACATGTGCCTTAACCAGTATTTTAATATTATATCAGCTGCCTTGCAGGAGCAAACTCACTTTTTTATGTCTTGCAGAGAACGGCAGATCAAGTGCCCCAAGTGTGACAAGCTGTTTCTGAGGACAAATCACCTGAAGAAGCATCTCAATTCACATGAAGGAAAGAGGGACTATGTCTGTGAAAAATGTTCCAAGGCTTATTTAACCAAATATCACCTCACTCGCCACCTAAAAATATGTAAAGGCCCCACATCCAGCTTGTCAGCCCCAGACGAAGAAGAGGAGGAGGATTCAGAGGAAGAATTAATAGACTCTATGAGGACTGAAGACTGTAGGATGAACAATGGAGTCTATTCAACAGGTGATGCCCTCTCTGGACACAAATGAAGAAGAGAGGGACATTTTCTTGGATAAGTAGGGAAGGAAAAAACCCTCTTCCTTGTTTCCCCAGTCAACAATGTATGTCAGGTGAGGAGTTTTCCTTCTGTTTTGGTCTCCACACTACCACCACTTAATATACTCTGTAGCCAAAACACTGACTGAGACTGGATCATGCCTGCACAAGTGAAGAGTTGCTAAGAAGGAAATGTGAGGCAAGGAGATTTTTTCACACACGCTGTGCATACTTCTTTTCCAAATCACTCAGATTAATCCATCCAGTGTTGGGACACGTCACACCTTGCATAGCCCTTTAAGCAAAAAGCCACAAACCAGAAATGTAGTTGAGTGATTGCAGTGAACTGTAAGCCAACTGTCCTTAACTGCCCAAGCCATGACATGAAGAGAAACAAACAAAAAATGTATTTTGTTTTTTTAAAACTTCTTAACTGGAGTATGTGATTTGGCACAAAGCAAAGGCTTAACAATGCTCAGGTTTCCTTCTTAAAACAAAACACTTCGGTTTAAAAATAAAAAGAAAGGCCAGTGAAATCAGCCCTTGCAAACAATGCCATTACCCCACTACAGAGAATCAAAGATTGGCTTTTGGATAACAGTTATTGCCTCCTCTCCCTCGAGTTCACTAGAAAGTGTAAGCAGGTGAAGAGATAAAGACTGTATAGACTCAGTAAGGACGAGGCTTACAGATGATCAGGCAGTGTTTACAGTATATATTACTCCTTGTGCTGTAAACCTTTTACCACCTAGAATGATGGGAGGGTTTGCTGCTAATATTATTTATGGAATGAAGATTATTACATTTGGTTGTTTTCTTTTGAAATAATTAAAAATGTGGCTCTTCTCAAATGTTCTTTTTTTAATATTTACATATTCTGAAAAAAAAGTTCCTATTTCTATAAATATGCTAAGAGAAATAACAACACTTTTTAATCATCTGCCTCTCACAAGCTTTCCTGGGACATGAAGGGGTAGGAGCACCTCCATGAATAGGTGCAGCTGAAGAACTGGTCTTTAAACTCTGTAGATTTCCTGCGTCACTCCTCTGGCTGTGCTGCAAAAGAAGAGTCAGCTGAGCTCTGTGCTCTTGACAAGGTAATTGGAGGTTTCCTTGTGAAAGAGGCTCTGCTTCTTGCCCTAAATGGCCCAAGCTCAGCTGTACCTTTCTCTGTCCCCTGTATTTCCTTGAGAGCTCCCAGGGTTCTTCAAACCTGAAAATGCTTGCCCTCAGATCAGTATGTGACTAAAAAGCTCCAGAGAGACAAGTTGTGGGATTTTGTTACGTCAAGGGAAAGATGTGTTGCTTTCAGTAATGCAATTTCTTCCTGAAACACAAAGCAACTTCTAGAGCTGCAGTGCCAATTATAATACTAGAGGTATAAGAGAAGTCACTACCCTCAAAGAGCTTAACACAAAGCATTTATTTCAAATTAAAGCTTTAAAAAACTTTAAGCTTTTCACTGGAGAGCACTTGAACAGAAGTGGTTCTCACTACTGCTTGGCAGAGACAGGAGGGAGGCAGGAATTCCAACCCATCCAGAGTATTCCTGCAGAGCCATGGTGAACACCTGTCATCAGACTAGAAACAGCTGAAGTGGATTTAGAAGCAGCCACTTACCCTCGAGGGATAGGAAGGAAAGATCTAACCCTTTTCCCCAGCCTTTTTCCCATCTGCAGTTTGTAGTGTTACAATTTACTTGCTTTACCTCACCAGAGTGAGTTACAGTGCTTAGGGTGGAAAGCAGTGGGGAGCCGTGACAGTGCAGCTGCTTTGACACCAGTGGCTTTAATACCCAGGGCATTTTGCAGACACCTTCAGTGTGGGAAGCACTTCACAGGAGGGTAAGAGTATCATTTAACTTCTTGGTCTGGGGTAAGGCACTCGGGTGCTCCATTTTAAATGCGAGGAAATTGTTGGAGTCACAATCCTTGATTAGGTTCCTGATGCTGGAAACAAAGTTCTTAAGTTGGTGGCTCAACTGATACTCAAAACATTCCTGTGCCTTCAGGTGTTGGGCAGAAACACCTGGGCGGGGGGATGAACATGAGTACATAACACAGAGCTTTCACCAGAGACAGGGACCTGCTGAGATCCCAGCCCTCGCTTTGTGTCCTGACAGCTTCTCATCCTTTCCAACTAGCAGCTCCTTCTTTCAGTTCAAATTCTCTTAAAATATATTACAGTTGGAGCTTGAAGAAAAACTCAATACCTTGTGCAGCATCAGTCAGCTTCAGGTGCTGTGGAACCGGGGAAAAGAAACACCCAATCTTGATGGATGGAGCTGGGATATTTCTGGTTTGATATTGGTGAGCTGAATGTTAGAAATACGTTTCAAGATTCTACTGGGGATGCCATTTTATTACCTGAGAACTACTCTGGATATTTAAAAAGATACATGGAAGATATTTTAAAATCTGTATTAGAAATCTGTAAACCTAGCCTCAAGGATAAATTATCTATTTACACTTGTCATTTAATTCAGCTTTTGTTTATTTATTACACAACTGTTGGGTGAAGTATTTTTTCTTGTACCTTAGAAGGTAGAAGATCAAAACCTTTGCAGTATTTAACAAACTTCTGGTAGCCAGAATGCTTTTCTAGTGACTGTTTCATTTTATATGTCAGCTTTACACATGGTAGCCCCTGTTTCAGGGATCATTATCTCAGGCAAAAGCAAGTGATTTAATCTTTCAAAGCCGGTAACAGAGGCAGGATCTTAAGAGCTTAATCACCCCACCATGTTTCTTTGTCTGAGATGAAGAGGCCTGCAGACTGCAAGACACTAGAGCCATTTCCATGAGCTCTCACCTAACAGGGGGATTTGCAGAATACATATTAGTCGTAGTCCCGTTAATTAGTCCTTTTTTTGATGTTTGGTCCATCATGATTCCATTGCTGTCTCCAAGTCGTTGCTGCTCCTGCTGGCTGTGGAGCTGGAAGCCATGGAGTTGGCACTAGCCAGAACCAGTCTCTCTCTGTTTCCAAAAACTTCATTCACTGCAATACAGACAGGGGATTGCTTACATGTTACTCTGATGAGTACTCAAGATGACTACAGCAAGTATAGCATGGTGAACACCATGGAATGGAATGGAAATCCTAACCTGGTGCAGTTTCAAAGCTTTTCCCCTTGCTCCGAGTAGGGACTTGAAGGTTACATGTCAGAAAAATCATCTGCATATGATACTTTAATTACAATTCCTGTTATTTTTCCCTCAGAGCATTTAGAGGTTTCCCTCTGCATAATTCTGTACCCAAGTACTGTGAAATGGATGAGGTTTGAAGAGCACAACATTAAGTTTAAATAATTTATTTCTGGCTTGAGTCTCTCTGGGTTTCCACCAAGCTCTTAAAAGCCTTCTCCAAAAATTCATGCCATTTGGTTACATGTAGCTACAACAACTGATCAACCCAGTCCTCACTTTTATTCCCACAAGTACTCAAAGAATGTGGTACCTGATTACACCAGGAACATTAAGAAAAAAATAAAACAGATATAAGAAATCGGGTGTTACGCTTCAGCTACAAGAAAATAAATCATGTCAAACAGTTCTCCAATTTAGAAAAAAAAAAAAAACACTTTTTGAAGCTGAAAATGTGAACACCATAGGCAGTCATTGGGTATGTAAAAATACTAACCTACAGTTTCTCTCAGAGCCACAATACATTACTGAATACAAATACATCCTGCAGGCAAGGGGAGAACCACAATATTCAAAGAAATGAGAACATTACCTGCAGAAAGCTTGCTTATATCCCAAACACGCAGCCCTTCTCGCTCTCCTCCAAAGGCAAAAACAAATGGGAAGTCAGGGCAGCAAGCTGCACAGAAGAGAACACCCTGGGAGGGTGGAAGAAAGAAGAGGATTATTTTTTTAAATGTCATCTTTCTAAAATGAATTTGTCATCTGAAAATACTTTCTACCAAGCAAGTTGTAACAAATGTAATCTCTTTAAGTTTCCCGAAACTTCTTTTGTAAAGACACAAAATGAAAGTCAAGAGCTGCTAAGTATAAACAGTAAATCACATCTTTGTCTTGAATGTGGCAGGTGCAGGCTGGAGCACCTATAGTTCTACTCAGAACATTGTATCTGGAATTTGGGTCTGAGGCTTTGAAGCAGTCTGCCAATTCCATGTTGAATACTGCACTGGAATGAGAATGATTTATCCAGAATATACAGATGTTTTTTCCCCTAAAAGATGTTAGGTAAAACAAAATTCAAACCAGACAAAAAAAGAATAAGCAGACGTAGTTTATATATAAAACTTACTGGAATCAAGAAATAAATATTACTATACCATTTTCATATCCCTGGAATGGACTAAACTTGGTCTGTCTCCCAGGATGTCCCAAATTTTCACGTATTTGTCAGCAGATGATGTCACAAGGCACCCTTTAACCTGACTGCTTAGCTGTAGCCCTGGAAGATTAACAGTGCAGCCGTGTGAGAACCGCTGTTTCACAAAGATGAGGATACATTTTGAAGTGAAGTCATGAGAACAACCTCAGTATTCTCCTCACACAAAACTCTGTTCCAGCACAAAGGAGCAAAACATTAATGAAAGTTTCATCCTGCTCCCTGTAGTGAGATTAAAAGCACCGTGTAGGCCTATTTTGTCTCTCAATCCAACAACGGTAACACTGCAAAGACATGCTTGTTCTACTTCTTACTTAACATAATCTGCTTCCCCAGGTAGCTTTCTTCATTCATTTGCCAAAGACCATCTTGCTTGCTGTCCAAGATGATGGGGCATGTTCATACAATCTCATTTTAGACACCTGATCAGGGACTTCAGGTTCCTTTTTGAAGCTCCTACACTGACCAAATTAAAGTAGCCTAAAGGAGACAGTGTGAAAACTTTCCCGTGTGCCATACCTAAATCATCCTCAGAGTGAGTCAGTATAAAATAATTACAGAGAGAGGAGGTAAACATTATAGTTCATAATCCTAGACCAGATTCCATCGTTTTTGTATTTCCTCATCCAAAAAAAAAAAAACCACAAGGAGTGTGTCCCAAGTGAATTAGTCTGTTTTTACATGCTTATTCATGACAGTCACTGAGGAAAGTTCACTGTTGTTAAAATACTGTGCTTTCAATGGCTTCTCAGCAGAGATTTGCTTCACATGCCAGCTACCATGATTAGCATGCATGACTTAATTGTTAAACAAGGAATCACTACCACCTCAGTCCTATAGGTTAAAGGCATCTTCCAGATGTGCTTTGCCACTGGGGACAAACAGGACATGCAGGCAGTTTACCTGACACCTCTTCATCATGAGCTTTCAGAGTAAACAGGGGCTTATCAGACCGAGCATCCAGACAGTACACAAAACCATCCTCTGTGCTTGCCTGAGAAAACCACAACATTTAAAAAACAAACAATCATCATCATTCATTTGGAAAAAAACTTCCTATGAAATAATACCCACCCTCAAGTAAATCCCTGAGGCAGACACTGCTCTGTAGGGCACGTTACACTGTTCCCAGGCCTGAGCCTCTGAAGTCAGGCTCCATCCACTTGCTGCCCAAGCCATTCTACATACCTAAACTATGCTGCACTGGATTACATGGAAGTCTTAATCATATACAGATTTCTTGAAGTGTACTTTGAAGACAGTTGCCCTGCTAAGCTTGGCCCCCATGTTAGGCAATGAAATACAAAGCCTTTAGTCTCTTCACTGTCAGTTCAAAGTTTTTGGAGCCATCCAGTGGTCCTGTGCAAAGCTAAGTGTGATTATACTGAGAGATCTACATCATAAACCCAACAAAACTAAGCAACCACTTCTGCTGGCTGTATACACAAAGCAACAGAGAACTAGACAGCCACTGAGATGATAAAGATTTGGTTTTAAATTATGTTGAAAAGTTGTATTGTAAAAATCTTGACAAAACCAAGCTATTTATACTCCAGGTGGGGGTTGGTCTCTTCTC